GCCTGGAGCTTCCATGAGCCCAACCTACAACTTGTTTGGTTGGAGTCCTGAATAGTCAAGCACTAGTCAGGTTTGGAGCACCTGGTATATTCATTAGCCTGGATAAAATACCAGGCAAATTCATTAGCCTGCACCAGGCGTTCTGGATCGGTCACCTAGCTCCAGAGTGGGAATGTAATACTACTTTTCCCGTGCGGGCCAGCGGATATATATACAGACGGACAAAGAGATAATTGTTATGCAAGGCAAGACACTAGCATGTCAAGTGCTCCATCATCAAGAGATACACTCATCTCCAACATCATACATATAAGGTGAAACTTCTCCATTACACATGTCTACTTTGCTCTCTCAAGGGAAACGACATGAAAATCAAGTATTAGGTCCAATCCAAATACCCACACAACACTTGTGCAATGCCCGCATATCTGCATATGATCTAGATCACACCTACATCTCTCCATATGCTCTAGATAACACCTGCATCGACTCATTAGATGCGCCAGCAGGTAACCCGTCTCCATTTGATTAATCCTCATCTGTAGTCTAGGTAGAAGGATGCCCTCATCAATCTTCGAGTGAAGAGCAAGGGCCCGGAGGAAGCTATGAAGCTGGTGCTGATGAAGTTCTCACCAACCGTAGAGGTTAGTGAAATTATCCTTTTTGAGTTTTTGTTCCAGTATGTTTCAATGGTGCTGATGAAGTTGGTGCTGACCAAGTTGCCGAAGAAGACTCGACATGCCACAAAGATTTCGACGATCTCATGGAGGCCCGCCGGGTTAGCTACTAAGGACATCAAGCCAAAAGCAAAGATCTATCCCGACGTGTAGATGTCAAATTGTTGGGGAACGCAGTAATTTAAAAAAAATCCTACGCACACGCAAGATCTATCATGGTGATGCATAGCAACGAGAGGGAAGAGTGTTGTCCACGTACCCTCGTAGACCGTAAGCGGAAGCGCTATGACAACGCGGCTGATGTAGTCGTACGTCTTCACGATCCGACCGATCCTAGTGCCGAAAGTACGGCACCTCCGCGATCTGCACACGTTCGGCTCGGTGACGTCCCACGAACTCTCGATCCAGCTGAGTGTCGAGGGAGAGCTTCGTCAGCACGACGGCGTGATGACGGTGATGATGAAGCTACCAGAACATGGCTTCACCTAAGCATTGCAACGATATGACCGAGGTGGATTGTGGTGGAGGGGGCACCGCACACGGCTAAGACAATTGTAAACTTGTGTGTCTATGGGGTGCCCCCTGTATATAAAGGAGTGGAGGAGGGGGAGGG